GGAAGGGCTCACAGCGGGATGGAAGGCATGGAGTTGGGCCGCATTCCCATCTCACCTGCCCTGTCTCCAGTGGGTGGCTTAGGGAGAATGGAGGGGCCAGAGGCTGCAGTTTTAGCTGCTTTTCACTTTACAGTGATTGCCTCACAGAACACACTCGTTTCACGAGATGAGTGGATACCGACTCAAAGTGGCAAGAAGTAGGGTCCCATTGGCCCTCGTTGGTTTACCTTTCAAAGTGTAGTTTGGCATGACCAAAAAGAAAAAGCAAAATGATTGAGGCGCTATTAAAAGGAAAACACCTCATAATTTTTGTTTTCACCTTACATTAGTAATAGAGAAGGGTTGGTCATTAAATTACCTCAACGAGGACTCGAACCTTAGAACCCTTCGCCGTTATATTTTCCAAGCTCATAGACTAGCGCGTTAACCACTAGGCTGCCAAAACGTTACGTAGGTTGCGTGCAATCTTTTGCCTTTTCAGCTGTGATGCCGCGGAGCTGCGTGATGACATCATGCCGGAACCCTCTGGTAGGAAAACAAAGGCTGTAGTTCAGCTGTGGTGCAAATGTGCTGTCCTCTCTTATGGGAGGAGGACGGTACACGGGTGCAGGAAACGCGACCTTTCGACTTCCTGAACAGAAGCCAGCTGCTCTACTCGCTATGCCACGCAGACTCCACGGAGACAACAGCTCTACCGCGCTGTTTCCTTAGGGATCAGTGGACGCAACAGCACAGATGTCGACCGCAGAGCCTGCATCCTGGCTCCGCCTTCGCTACGTCGGTATCGCATTCTAAGGCCGGGCACCTGAAGTCGGCGCTACCACCTAGGAGGAGGTTGTACCTGGACCGCGCATTGGGTACCGCGTTGTACTAGGACCGCGTGGCCTAACGGATAAGGCGTCTGACTTCGGATCAGAAGATTGAGGGTTCGAGTCCCTTCGTGGTCGGTTCCATTTTGGGCGAGCGGCGCGTGTCCTAGTTTCTCTCCCTGAAAGCACCTGTCTTCTGAGGACCTGGCTTATCTTCTTGAACTCGCGTGCCACCGGTCTTAGGTCTGAGCCGGCACTTCCCAATCGTCTCGCCTTGATTTTTAGCTTTTCGCTTGGCAAGGCGATGTAATCGGTTATCTAATTGGCTTCCCGCGACCTGTACTACGTCCTGGTCTAGGAGTAGGCAGTTCGGGCGCGAGCAATGGAGGGAAAGGCTTGTGAGATTTGTGCACGTGCTTTTGAGCATTACCATGGACCACGTGAACACGGCGTTTTGTCGCGCCCCAGTGGCCTAATGGATAAGGCACTGGCCTCCTAAGCCAGGGATTGTGGGTTCGAGTCCCACCTGGGGTGATATGTGTGGTTTTGCTCTCCGGGTAATTCTGGCTCTGCGAGTTCATGTACCCTCTCAGGCTTCGCCCGGGTCACCAGGGGCTCCCTTGCACGTAATTTGGGCCCTGGGCACCCGTTTTACAGTCTCCTCTCGTTTGCCGTCTTGCCGTCTATTCTCGGCCTGTGATCTGTAGAAAACCTGAGCGGGGCGGGTGTCTCCGCTAGGTGCCTTTTTTTTTTTTTTCTGGGAACCTTTCGGTTTTTCACCTCGCGCACTTGAGGTTTAGGGACGTTTTTAATAAGATCCACCCACGACGGGGTGAAATTTTCTCAGTGACAAAAGAGACAAACCCTTACCCCAGGTGGGACTCGAACCCACAATCCCTGGCTTAGGAGGCCAGTGCCTTATCCATTAGGCCACTGGGGCTTGCAGCTCACACCCCTCGTATCTCTCTCTCTAGTAGATGGTCAGACTTCGGGTCTTGCAAGGCAGGAGTCAGCGGGTCACACGTTTACGGAGGAATGCCTAGCCAGGGATGGGCATGGAGAGGCCCCGGAAGTCCACAGTCGACCACGAGGATGCGGGAAGGCGCTACCCTGGGAGCCCAGCTGACCGACCTGCAGCCTCCACACCTCGAAGCACAGTGGGGCTGGGGCTGCCCAAACACCTGGGTCACGGCGGGTGAAGACTGCGGTTCGAGCCATCGTGTCTACTTCTACTGAACCGACAGAAAATCCAGGTGTTTTAAGGAAAAGTGGTGTGAGGAGTGAAGGAGAACAGGTTGCATGAACACCGAAACATAAACAAGGACAATGGACAACCAGGAGGAACAAATCCTTCCATGTATGTATACGTGTATATACATATGTATATGTTATATGCAAATGTGTGATATGCAGAAGAAAAATGTATCAGCCAAATAGATACTTCACCCTAATATTTTGTTCCTTTAAAACTGTTGGACAAAAAATAATACAAATAAAGAATAAACACATTTTTAAACGTTACGAACGTTGAAAAGCCACTCTTAGAACCCATGCACATCTGAAAGAAGTCACAGCAGAAGCTTCAGGCGAGGGCGACGTGCATTTCCAGGCCCGTGTTGAGACCTTGACCCCCAAGCCTCCCTATTTCAGGGCACAGGGCGCTCGCGCATACTCTTCCGTTACTCTCTCCAGCGTGTAGAGTCTGCAGAAACCGAGCTCCTCCTTTCACATCAGCAAGACGAGTTTAACCGACCTGGCTCCAGTCTCCTGCCCTCATTTTAAGTTAATCAGTTTGTCTGCTGAGGTGTAACAATCATGTGGCAAAGTGCACGCATCGCAGGCCACAGCCTGATGAGATGCAGAACATTCCCAGCGTCCCAGGGGATCTCCCCCTCCCCCGAGTACTTTCCTGACTTGCATCACCATTAAGCAGCTTTGCCTCGTTTTGAACTCCATGTAAATGGAAGGATACTCTTTGGTATCTTGGCCTCTTTTGCTCAACATCGTGTCCATGAGGTTCATCCATGTTCATTCTTTCGCCCTCAGCTTTTTAAAAGAAGAAGTCCTACCCCGGTGTTCTCCTCTCATCCCCCAGCCTGTTCTGTTTCTTTGTACCTCTCCTTCCCCTCCTGTCTTGAACGCTTTTCCAGGTCCTTTCACATGCCGCCAATGTCTTCTGAGGGCCTCAGGGATCCAGCACTTTGCTCAGGGGCAACCCACAGGGATGCCTTCTCCGGTTTCCCTTTGACACCATCGGGGCCAGTATCCCTGCGCTCTGCCTTGCCTCCTCCTCAACAGCTCCTGCCATTCCCAAGGCTCCCCTTGTCCTGCATTTCCCAGAGGCAACCTCGCTCCCAGGCCCGTGACGTCGGCTTCTCCCAGACAAAACCACCCTCATCATCCCCCCCGCCCTCCCGAGCCCGCTCCCTTTGTGATTCTGTTTCAGTGCACAGCATCGCCCACGTCACACACCTGCTCCCATTCCATGTGGGCCAGTTTTCTGTCCCCACAGTCCTTTTACATGTTTTCCCTCCATCCCTGTTGTCACCGCTCTAGTTCCAGGATGGGCCCCTGACTGCTCAGGGGGGGTCAGTCTACCAACCTGTGCTCACTTCCCTGTGGCCGTTCCTCCTCCATTCACGGCCAGATTAGCCTTCCCCCGGTAGCCTCTGTCAGGGTAGGGCCTAAGTGTCTTAGCTGTCACATTTAAGGACATTCTAGACCTGGCTCCCTCTCAATGTGGCAGATGTGCCTTCCACAGCTCCTCATCCCCTGGGTCCCCGCCAAACTGGGCTATTAACCACCATTCCCCCTGAGTTAATGGCACAAACTCAGAGCCATTAACCACTTATTTATTCACTTAAGTCTCAGAACAGCCCGAGGAGGTAGGCACTGATAACATCATCCCTGGTTTCCAGACGGGAAACAAAGGTTCAGGGAGGCTAAGTAGTGTGCCCAAGGCTCCACAGCTGGGGGTGGAGGAGGGCAGGGGCCGGACTACCCCGGTCTGGCCTCAGAGCCCGTTCTCAGTGCTACAGTTCACTGTCCCAGCTTCCTGGCCACTCTGGAGCCTCCGGGCGACAAGCTCTTACCTTGCTTGCAGGCCCACCTCCAACCCATCTTCCCTGAGCTTCCAGCTGGAACTTACTGTTTCTCTGCCTCCCACAATCTATTTGGACCTTTCTTATGTTATTTACTACGTTTTAGGTCATGTTACCATACAGGAATCCGTTTTTCTTTTCAACTGACCGAATGTCAGTTCTCTGGAAGAATGGACGTGGTTCACTGCTGATTCGCCGGGGAACTCACCCAGGGCCTCATGGACTAATGAATGTCGTACTTCCTTGGTCCCCAGTACGCTCTCAGTCTCTTGAGGACTGGGACCATGCCTTCCACATCTTTTGTATGTTCTAAGTCATTTATTGAAGCTTTTTCCCTTTGTTTACACTCACATGAATGAGGTTCCTGCTCACATATAGTGTACACATTACTACATCCACGATGTTGCATTTAGAGGATCACAATGCATTTTGTCAAATGAGTGAACTAGATAAAAATAATAGAGAATATTCTATGAAATTCAAGCATGTCAGAGCAACCTGCTACCGTTGTGCTGGTTTGGCTGCTTCCCCACCCATAGGGTTGCAAAACCCTTTTTCTAGTTCCAATCCACTCTTTTCCGGCTCCCACAACCCTAGAGCCTGCGACAGTGCCTAACACATGGCATTCCTTCCCACTCAGGTGGTTCCCCGTTACCTACATTTCTTAAAACCTAACCTGCTGAACTTGAATTCAAGAATCTCCACACTGAGCTTCCATCTCCCTCTCCAGACGTCGCTCCTGGGCCCCCCTGCACAAATCCACCGTTCAAGGGTCTTCCTCATTGTCTCCTCCGCCCAGCCTTTTCTTTGGTTCTCTTCATCCATACTGTTCTTCCAACTGGCATGGCCCCCGCCTTTGTCCTGATTAAAATGCTGCACCTTTTTCGAGGCCCAGCTCTGCTGCCCACTCGCCTGTCTCAGCTTCTAACGACTGTGTGTCCCTTGAGGGCCCACACCTCGCTCATCCCTGTTTCCCGCAGGCCATGACAAGCAGTCAGCGCCGATCAGGAATTGTTAGGCAGGCAGATTTCAACCGAGGGAAAGGTAGGAATCCTGTTCTGAAGCATTCTGAAGAACAGACGCCTTCTGTATTTAGAATTTTATTGACGCTCATACATACGGTGGCTAATTAAGGTTCGACAACATGTCATTGCCCGTAGGGACCTCGGCAGCCAGTGCCTGCCGCCCTCATTCCGAATGAACATCCCCAGACAGCTCCAGTCTCAGAGACGAGCAGTGTCAGCAACCGCGAGCAGCACGTCAGTCTCCCAACGGCACCAAAGCTCTCGGCCGGCGGCCTGGGTGCCCTGCAGAGGGTGTCTGCCAGCTCTGGAGGGCGACTTCAGTCCATATCTACCCTCCTGCTTGTCTTTACAGCAGAACTGATTCTCTTTTTTCTCAGCCTTTCCCGATTCATCCTTTCTATCCTGCAAAGAAAAACAGCACAGTTAGGCCCAGGGGCCCAGTCAGCGCTTTTCAAAGCAGCGAGAGGAGCTGACAGCTCGGCGGGAAGCAGAGCCGCCAAGTCAGCCTGCGGCAGCTCCCGAGCCACCACTCCGGGCCCGGCTTCTCCCCCGCAGGAGCTTTTCTGCCCGTTTGCTGGGAGGGCGTGGACTTGACCCTGCCCCCTTTCCTCCTTGTGCTGCTCCCTCACGACTCAGCTGGAAGAAATTTGGGGTGTTTTCTGGTACCTGATTCTCCATAGTGCAGCATCTTCTTTGGAGGGCTCCTTGGCTGGCTGGCTGGCTTCAGCGATCATGTCTCGAATTTTCTGTAGGCAATCTGCCAGATTTCGGAGCTGATAGCGGCTGCATTCAGAGGTGAGGATCAGCTCTCCTGACTTGTTGATCTTATTTTTATGCTGCAGGCAACAAAAGGAAAACCAGGGTTCTACTGAGTAAAGGTTTAAAAGCTAATGAGGGATGCCCTGACCAGTGTAGATCAGTTGGCTGGGCATCATCCCACAAAGCAAAGATCACACGTGCGATTCCCGGTCCGGGCACGTGCCTGGGCTGCAGGTTCTGACCCAGGTCCAGGCGCGCGCCTAGGGTGCCAAGGAGAGGCAACCTAGCCAGGTTTCTCCCCCTCTCTTTTTCCCTCACTTCCCCTGTGTCTAAAATTAAATAAAATCTTTTAAAAAATAAAAACAATGAAGGCGATGGAGGGATTCAAGAGAAAAAAAAGGGGCGGCGGTTACCGTGACAGCTATTTTCTGCCGCACAGGCTCTGCAATCCAGTCTGCGGTGGCCAAGTGGAACCTGACTTCAGCCTTGGAATTCACTGGGAAGAAAGGGAGAAGGGGGCACGGGGCACTGAGACTCTAGGGAGGCTCGGCGCCTGGGTGGCTGGTGAGCATCCTGAAAGGAGGGGAGGCGAGGAACCCAACCAGGGACGTTTCCATCCTCTGTCAACGTGGGGACACAAAGCTGGTCGTGGAATGAGCCCGCAAGATGGTGAGACACTTTGGGACAAAAATAAACTTCCAGGATCTAGATGCCCGGTGCCCTTCTTACAGTGAGTGCCTTGGGTGCTGAGAAGGGCGGGGCGGGGGTGCTCCACAAGAACGCGGGTGGCCTGTTCTCAGAGCAGCTGCCAGCTCGCGCCGGGTTGCCCTTTGTGGAGACTCACAGCCAACCCGAGTCCCGGCAACCCACAGCTCGGGCTGAGAATTGGGCCACATTTAAAAGAATAAAGAGGATTATTATAAACTGGCAGCATTTAAGCTTCTGCTCAAAAAAAAAACAAAAAAAAAAAAAAACAACCAACCCCCAAAACGGAAACTCTTTATTCCCCATGACTGTAAACACAGAATCAAGTCCCTCTTCCAACCGAAGGAAACGGCAAGGTGCCTGTACCTTTGTTAACGTTCTGGCCTCCAGGACCACTACTCCGACAATAAGATATTGTCAAACGATCTGCAAAATAAAAGGCACACCAAAGAAATGGTTATCCCATGGCAAAATGTAACATATCCCTCTCAATGACGTGTATATTTTACGTACATATATATGTACATATAAACATTAACATTGAGATCAGTAGAGTAAGAAGAGATTATTTATAGATGTCAAAACTAGAGTCAAGACTAAGCGACTTTCCCAAGGTCACAGACAGCAGAGGACATGAAATTATGACCCAGGTCGTCTGCTTCTGGTCCATACATTCCAGCTGTCCCAGCTTTTTGCACTTTGTTTTAAAGCAAAGACTTTCAGAAGGTCAACCTAAGGGACACACTTAGTTTAATGTTTTATTTTAAAACGTGAGGGACATGGTGTCCAGTAGCCTGTAGGCGCCCAGAGGGCAGGTACGTGTTCACGGCGGACTCCCTGTGACTAGCGCTTGGTCAGTGCTGGGTGACTGAGCGTTGGATTTGGAGCTGGGGGGCCTTGCTTCTAACACTGGCACAGCCACCGACTATGTGCTCTTGGCCAAGTGCCACTGCTTCTCTGGGTCTGTTTTGTGTGTCTGTTTGCAATCTGTAAAATGAGGTTTCTTCCTTCTATTTTTTTTAAAGATTTAATTTATCTCTTTTTAGAGAGGAGAAGGGAGGGAGAAAGAAAGGGAGAGAAACAGCAATGTGTGAGAGATTCATCATCCATCAGTTGCCTCTCGTGCGCCCCCCACTGGGGACCTGGCCCACACCCAGGCATGTGCCCTGACTGGGAATGGAACCCGAGACCTTTCATTTCGCAAGCTGGGGCTCAATCCACTGAGCCACGCCAGCCAGGGCTCTTCCTTCTATTTTTGTAATTCATGACAAGCAGCCTTGTACTGTCTGAGGAGAGCAGGGAAGTGGGAAAATTCCGGGTGACTAGAAGCTGGGCGGCAAGAAGCCTGGGTGGCAAACAACTGTGGCGTCCTGGCGGTGGAGAGCAGGCCCCCGCGGCCAGCAGTGACCCATCTCGGGACCGCTTCTGAGGCGCTTCCCTCCTGCGACAGCTTAGGTGACGGGTGCCCGCGGTACTGTACGGGGAGCACTCCAACCACGGCATCAGCAACACAGCCTGTGTCCACGGAGGCCACCGAGGTCTGGCTGGTGCCACCACCAAGCCTGTCCCCGCAGGAATGCCCATGACCCTCCCAGAACACAGGAGCGATGCTGGCAACCGAGGAGCTATAGCGCGGCCACCTCCCACTCGTCTCCCTGTCTCCGGAAGGATGTCCTGAGACAGCTCTGGAGCCTCCTGTTCTGAGACCTGCCTCCAGGCATGTGCACACCTCAGGGCTCAGCTGCAAGCGATCAAGTCGGTCACAGGGCGTCCTCTCCCTTGTGTAGCTGTCACCTGGCCTCTTTGTTTCAGTGTCACCTGAGCAAGGGCCATGGGGAGCTGGCGCCTTTGGTACTTTCTTTCCCAGTCTGGGAGGTCACAAGCTCTCTGAATTGGAAAAGGGCTGGTTGTATCTTTTCAGGCCCTGCCTCACGCATGATGGCTGCACAATTGGTTTACTGGGAGAAGTCCCTATGAGTGTGTCCTTCCCTCTCCGCTCCCCAAGGCAGTCCTCCTACCCAATTTCTTGTGCATCCTTTCGGATCTATGTACCTATAGAGAAATATATGTATATATTTCAGACATACATATATATACACATAAGACACACATGCTAGCTTACTATACATATTCTTCTGTACGTTGTTTTCTCCACCTAAGGATCAATTCAGCTATTGTTAAGATTATCCCACGCCACAAGAACGGAAGAGCTCTCTGTTCAAGCCACACAGCACTCCAGAGCGGCTGTGCCATTGTTTTTGTTTCTGTTTTTTGCTATTCTAAACCAAGAAAGGACTGCACCTTTGCACACCCAAAGACAGTTTCTTTACTTTTATCAGGCTGAAAAGACCTGGAAGGAATGTGTGAGGGGTGGGGGAAATGGCTGATTTTTTAAATAAAACCAAATTACTTACCCAGAGGAATGTCATTGTTGGCTTGCTTTGCGTCATCCTGGAATGTAAGGTACACAGTGTCAAATAAATATTACTTGCTGGGTGACTCCTAACTGGTCCAGGGCAACCAAAGAAATGATGTAAAGCCACGACACAAATGTAATACAGCTATTTCCAGGACCCCAGGGAAATCCTATCAGAGGACAGAAAAAGCTTCCCAAGACTCCAGACGGAGCATCTCAGAAACACTCCTCCAGGAAAATGGAGCTGACGTCTCCAGCCCTCCCTGCCCCCGCCCGAACTTGCGTGGGACCATCAGAGGCCTGGCTGCTGGGAAGAGGGAGGGTGGGCGCCACAGCACACATACATCGGGGGACTCCAACAGGAACACCCTCTGCTGGCCTGGAGTGATAAACCTGGTGGGCCATCGCGTTCTCTCTGCTCCCCTAGGAGGTTGCCTGCCTTGAACGGTGACTAGCACTTCTGCCTTTAGAGTCTGTGTCACACTGAGCCACTCCCTCCAGGATTTCTTGCCTCCACGCCTCTCCCGGCCGTTCCTCTGGCAGTGGCCTTCAGCCTTTGAGCCTCATACCCACGGGCCCCGGGCAAACATTGCCCCTCTGAGGCGGTTCTGGCCAACCGATCTCAAAAAGTAGCCTCGCCTGTCCTGTTCTCCACCCCCCGCCCCTTTTCATCTTGGAATTATTTCAGGGGTTGGGGGATCCTCATCTTACTCTGCCTCTCCGCCGCACTGAAGGCCATGGACCAGGCCCTCCACACAGCACCTTCTTCTGAGCGACCTTGTTTTTTCTCTTCCCTCCCTAGGACTTTATCGCTCTCCTTTGCTTGCTATTTGCAACCTTTAAACACTGATGTGCCCCTGAAATCCTTTCTCTTCTCACTCTTACTCTTTCCCTAGAACATTTCCTCCGTGTCGATAAAAATATCCTCTGTGTTGGTGACTCCCAACTTTCCTGGTGCAAACTCACACCTTTTTCCTTCAACTGCCGACCCACAGCCAACAGCCCTTCGAGGCCTCCTCTCAGATGCCTCAACCGTCCAAGCGCAGAGAGAACTTCTCCTACTCCCACTGAGTAGCTCGCAGGCACTCTCGACGGCAGCGCACTGCTCTGGTCATTTCTTTTCAACAGCTTGTATGTCTTCTCCACTTGTTTACTGCCTGCTCCTTCCACTTGAACAGAAGCTGTCTCTGCAAAGCTTGGAACAGTGTCTGACACAGCAGGCATACAGTCATTTCTTTTTTGCGAAATGAAAGAACCTTCTAACCTCAATTTATGACAACTTAATCCTTCCATTGCTCAAGGCGCCAGACTTCAACTCCTCTCTTGTTCTCACTTCTCATAGAAAATCCCTTAGCAAATTCTAGAGGCCTTCCCTTCAGAATGCATCTAGAGCCCGAACAATTCTCATGATTCCTACTGCTTCCACCCTGCTTCTCATCTCTCGCCTGGATTGTCGCAATCTCCTAACTGGCCTTTCTGCCCTTGTCATTCCACAGTCTCCTCTTTATAAGGCTCTGTAAGAGTGAGCCCTGTTAAGCCCAGTTGGATAATTCCATTCCTCTGCCTCATCCTCTAGCAGGTCCCCATATGGGCCTGCCTGCAGTTCCTTGAACAAGCAGAGCATGCTACTGCATTCAGGTGGCTGCATCTGCTGTCCCCTACAGGATGTCCACCTCCCTTCTATTCTCATGGCTCCCTGCCTTGCTCCTTCTAGGTCCTTACTCAAACATCACCTTCTCAGAGGCCTTCCCAGACCATCCTACTTAAAACCGTAACGCCACCCCCTACCGCAGCACACTTCTTCCTTCCGGGCTTTATCTTCTCCAAAGTAAGTCACCATCTCACATGTTCTGTACTACTTATTTTACTTATTGCTGTCTCCCTCCTTTAGAATTCAAGCTCCACAAAGAGTAGAATTTTTGTGTTCTGTTCACTACTCTATCCCCATGCCTAGTGTGCTACACAAAGCATGCTCTCAACAGAACTTTGTTGACTGAGTGAATGAATCGACGAACGTTCTCTTCCAGTCCTGTTCGTGGAAACTCAACAGAATTGACTAGGTGCTATCTCTCCTGCTCCCCGGCCAGGGCTAGAGCCAGAGCCAGAGCTGTAGCCTGCACACAACGGGCTGTGATCAAATGCGACCTGAGGAAACGAATGGGAGACCAGCTTCTTCACGTGCGCTGGGGTTACTAGAGGCTAAGACAGTGTAACATTCCAAGATTCTAGAAGGGAGCAAACAACTTGGCAGCCTCCTGCATTTATTGCCCACTCTGCAGGGCCAGAATGCCCTCATTTTCCCCGGGGCAAGGATCTGGGTCTGAAAGGTGGGGAACTAATGTGGAAAAGCTGGTGGTCTCGTAAGAAGGTCCTGCGTGTTCTCCCAGCACCCCCACACTCCGAGCCTCCCGGGGCGCCTACCGCCCAGGGGCCCCCGTTCTCGGTTGCTCAGGCAACCAGCTCTCTTCCAAGGTGGCCCCCCTTCGATGAACGGCGCGCATGGCCAATAGGGCCCCGGCTTCCTGACGTCACCCTCCAGAGGCGAGGAAACGCCCCTTCCGTCTGGCCCTCCCGGCTCACCGGGACCTTCCAGGCGGTGTCCACGCCCCGCGATTCCGGGTAGAGCTTGTCCAGACTGTAGATGCTTTGGAATTCGGTGCCGTCTACCTGCTTGTGCAGCTCCCGGCGGGGGCAGAGCGCGGGTGGTGGTAGCAGCCAGGCCCGGGCTCGGCTCAGGCCCCAGCGGAGGCCCCGGGCGGCCGCCATGTTCGAGTCTCGGAGCTGCTTCCGGTGGGCTCTTCCTTCCGGGATCCGCTACGTCGTGTTTCGCTCTGGACTTTGGTTCCGCGCGACTTTTAGCGCCGAGGGAAGCGGCGAGCTGAGCTCTCGGCGCAGCTCTAGCGCGGCTGGTCTTGGAACGTCCCCATCGGCTGTCTCCGGGAGGCCTGCTTGGCGCTCTGAGGTCGGCCGCAGCGGTGGGGAAGACGTTAGCCAGCCAGTGAGCGCCCAAGGGAGGCTCCTGGTGAAAGAACCCCCAGATCCGTGTCCCCCAAAACACCCTCTCACCTCTCCTCCCGGACCGCTCTCCCCCCATATCTCACACCGTTCCTTAGGAGGCCAGCCCTATCTGGCCTAGTTCATCTTCATCCCCCTTACCCTGCTGTCTTTTTTTTTTTTTTTTAATCTTTTTCTTTCTTTCACATCACTCAGTGTTACTTGTTTATTGCTTGTCTCCCAGCCAGACTGCAAGAAGCTTCAGGAAGGCACTGGGTCACTGCTGGATCCCAAGCAGCCAGAACCTAGCACATCATAGGTGCTCATAAAACATTGTTAGGACCAGTTCTTTGGGAATGTGTTTTTAAAAGTTGAGATCCGCTAGAGCTGAGTTTTAGTAAATGCAGTTTCATTTCACAAGGCAGCGTATAAGCAAGACCGCACTGAGCACGTGTGTGAAAAGTCTACAGGGCAATTAACCAGATGGGAGGAGACGCAGGAAGGTGGAGAAAGAAGTGCAGGGCAGCATCATCTTGATACCCAAGGAGGCGGATTTGATCCTCCGGTCAGGAAACATACAAGAATCAACAAGCGAAGGCATAAATAAGTGAAGCAACAAATCGAAGTTTCTCTCTAAAATAAACATATAAGTGGACCCCACCCACCCCCCTTTGTGGGAGAACCAGCAGTCCGGTGGAGCCCGGTGGGTTTCTCCTAGCCAGGAGGTAAAGGAAGGCTGAGGAAGTAGGTGGAGCTGCAGACAGCCAGACAGGCTAAGCAGAGCCCTTTTGCAGGGATGTTAAGACATGAACTAGAAAACTGAAAAGTTGTAACTCCAAGGAAGGTTCAAAGTAGAGTAAGCAGTGTTTAGAAACAGCTAAATATTGACTGAGTTACTTTGTTGAGAGGCAGTGTGGTAAATGAAAACAGCTTGATGAATGTTAGAGATTAGTAATATTAGTGGTTGTTTCTTAATGAAGAGTTCTATTTTTAGGAAAAGCATAATTACCTAGAAAAATATGTCCCTGGGGATGTTGGCTGTTTGAAACAGGAGATTGTTATCAAACCAGGGCTTTCCGGTCTTGGCCTCATTGATCCAGGCAGTGTTTAGGAGGGAATACGCTGCCCTCCAGACCCTGGCTTTGTAAACCCCAAAGGGCAGCGTGGCTCTGGGTTGGGTGGGAGTCTCCTGGGTCCCTCCTGTCTGACTTAGTCCCAAGGCCTCAGAGGGAACAGAGGTATCTACATGGTGACTGGAATAAGCTGCTCAGGGGAGCAAAGCCAGGGCTCGTCCAGGTCCATGCTCTGGGATTATGAATAACAAAGTCACCACCATTCAATCATTACTTTGAGCTGAGCTCCAGCCCTGTGCCTGACTCAGAATGATAGCAAAAGGAAGCTGCAGGTTTCCTTGGCCCCAAATAAACACAGCCTGCTCGGGCCATCTGGCGCCCTGGATTCTGGGAGGGGGGGCGGAGGCACGTACAGGAGAGAATGAGACAAGTTACCCTGGGGGAGGGGGCAGAGAGAGCAGCCGCCAGGCTCCTTTCACCTGCTGCTGCGGTGAACCATCCAGAATAGAGGCCCTTCTGGGAAAAACGGGACTGAGAGGTGCCACCTGTTCCCTTAAAATGGTAGGCACAAAGGCTGACGCCAGCCTACTTCCCCCTCCTTGGTCCCCCATAGGTGGAGACAGTACTTCAGAAAAGGGACATTCACAGAGGTGAGCAGGGGGAAGAGGCGAGAAAGAATCATCCAGGCTTTCCTGGCAGCTGGGGAGCTTGCAGGCACCGGCCCTTCTCGGTGGCCGGAGTTGGAGTGCCACAGCCGTGTTGGGGGTCCACAGGATTTTCCTTTCTTTTCTGGAGTGCCCTGGGACAGAATGGCTCTTAAGCCTCAACATTATATGGAAATAGGGATTGCGCAGTAGTGCACAGTGGGAGTGGGTGAGGCCTGGGTTCAAACATTTCTATGTGCTCTTGAATTACTAACTTAACCTCTAAGCCTCAGGATCCCCCTCAGTAAAAGAGATTTTATAGCTGCCTGTCAGCAGGCAGCAAAACTTGGCTGTTACTAAGGGTGCTAAGTGTGTACAGGTTTTTTGAAGGAACTTCCTTTTACTTTCAGAGACCTGATAGCTTTTATCTTCTTTTTTCTGCAGCACTGGCTGGGAAATCCAGGTGGACTAGCTCAGTTCCAGACCTTCCTTCCTTCTCCCGAGGGGCTGGGCAGGCAGGGGAGCGTGCCCCCTGGCCTGGGTGGGCAAAGCTGCCCCCTGCTTCCCAGAAGCTGCTTCCCTCTCTGCCTAGTTACCTGAAAACACGGCCAGGCTTCCAGCTGTTTGCAGGGAGGGCACAGGCGGGGGTCTGCTTCCTGGGTAGTGGGGGGAAGGGGGCACAACTCCTCTTACCCAGTGTTTGGTCTCTGGGACGGCTGGCGGGCTGGGAGAGGAAGGAAGCAGGGGAGAGACCCTGGGGCGGCGGGGGAGGGGAGCCCAGGAAGGACAAAATGGTGACAGGAAGGAAGAGGAGGCCGGGGGAAAATATATCCAGTGGGGAATTCGAAAGGCGAGAGAAGGTACAAGTCACAGCTTCCTCTGCGCCTCGGATACGGCTGCCCCGGCTGCCCCGGCTGCCCCGGCTGCCCCACTGTGCTCCCCATCCCGCTGCAGACGGGTCACAGCAGGACGGGAAAATCCGACAGCCGTTTGCGTGCTGGTCAGTTCATTTAGAAAGCAGACACCACCAATGTGGGGCCTGGTTCTGGGCTCCCCACACCACAGCGCACCGTCCTCACCTGCAGGGGCCAAGGGAGGTTGCTCCCGGCTCCTTCAGGAAGAGCGGGGAGGGCTGTTGGGGCGAGGTCCCTGAGCCCGCCTCCAGGGGACGATTTTGGAAGCTTTTCCTTGTGGGGGTGAGGTCCACAGGGTCCGCCGAATTTTCTGCATGGAAGCGAGAGAGTGGAGAAGGCAACGAGAAACTGAGCCCCAAAGATTCAGACGCATTTTCTTTGGCTTCTGAAGTTGAATGTGTTGGCAGGTATGGGTTGGGAGGAGGGAACCGCAAAATTCCCTCCAGCAAGGGGGGTCCACATAGCATGGGGTGCCCTGCAAGGCAACATGGCCCTCATGGGTGGCGCTCAGTAAACAACTTCTGAGACCTGCTCTTCAGAGCTCAGTGGCTGCCACCCGTGCCGGGAGTGGGGCTCAGAAAGTCCTCTCCCTTCAGAGCTGTTTGATGGAAGGCAGGTGTGTGAGACGCACAGAGATAGGACCATGGCTCCAGGGCCATTTCTGCTTTTAGAATACTGGTGCTTTTTTTTTTTTTTTATTAAAGAAGAGAATAAAGCATTTGTAAATATATTTCTCTCATGTATACCTCAAAGGTGATGCTGGTCGGCTGCTACAGAACTGGGAATCGAACAGGCAGGAGCCCCTCCCCCACCCCGATGCACCCCACCCCCTCCACCCTAGATGACAGAGACACATGGAGGGCTGGGAGCCGCCTGGCTCCAAAGGACAAAGGGTTCCAAGATGTGTGGCCGAAGGACCAGCCGACAGCTCTCATCACAGTGCCGCCCGGAGAGCAGGTTGGCACCTCTGGGGAGGTCCGGCGAGCGTATTAAGAAAACCCCTTTACCCCTTAGAAGTGAGTAAGGCATGAAGGTGCCCACTGGGCTCCCCGCACAGAGGCCAGGGCCACCGCCTTCCCCGGGCTGGATGGCCCCCCTGACTGCTTGGGCTTCAGGGGGAGTGGGCGGCAGAAACTGGGAGCCCTGAATTGCTCAGGGCAAGCTGGGGACCTGGGCATCTCCTAGTTGAAGCTGGACTTTCTGAAGCCTTCACAATAGGCTGAGCCCCAGCAGGGTCCTCAAGAGACCCCCGCAAAGGCAGGAGGTTAAGAGCAGGCATTTTATGAGAGGAAGGAGACACACTCTCCCTCCCAGTCCCGTTTTAAATACTGTTCAGTGTGGGGTGGGAGTCTTGGGCCATCCCCAGGGAAGGGGGGCAGGGCGGAAGCTGCGGCCACTGGCTTGCAGCACATTCTGGGGGCAGCAGGTGTGACCTGTGGTGAGGTCAGCGTGTGGGGAGCACAGGAGTGAGGGAGACATGGTAAGGTCCCTGAGGCGGGAGCAGGCGGAGGCCGGACTTGATGCGTTGCAGGCAGCGTGCAGAGGAGGGGGCTCCCCGCGGCCCAGGCCCCTGGAAGGCTTAGTGCCCAGAGGGTGTTTCCAGGGTAGAACCCAAGGAGGAGGGCTCTGAGGGCAGTGGCGCGCCGCTCGCTCACATATGGCAGCGAGGGGCGCTCTGTCCCGCCCCTCGCGTGGCTCCAGATGTGCCAGGCTGAGGGTCTCCAAAAGAAAGGCCACCCTCACCTGGGCCAGGGTGGGGGACACTCGAGGCCAGGCAGAGGTGTTCTGCTTTGCATGACAGAGGCCATCTCTGACCTGATGAGGACCCTGGGGGTGGGACAGCTGGTGCCAAAGGAATGACAGCGGTTAGAGCCGGGGAGAAGCAGCGGGTGGTCCAGGAGGCCCCAGGAACCTGCCACGGCGGGCTCTGGGGTCCCCCTTCAAGTGTTTCCAGTTGTGGCAAGGAGTTAGGGGGACCTTACATTGCAAATCTCTCAAAAAGAAGAAACCAAACTTTGGGGGGTGGGGGGGAAGCAAACTAGGTCCAGCATGGCTCTCAGAAGCCTGGCGACAAATCTGGGGTCAGAAAGCCAGGGGAGGGAAGCAGGGGTGTTTGGCTTTGTAACTCTTAGCTGTGCCTTGGGCTGACACAGGATCATGGAGGGTCCTGAGGGGCCAGGCGTGTCGACATGTTGACCACCTCCCACTTCAGCAGCGAACAAGCTGGGTCCTCCGCCGGCTCCCTGGGCTGGACAGCGGCCTCCACTGGGATATATTGCCGCAAAGAGGCTCCCTCATTCACCAGAGGCAGTACGGCCCAGGCATGAGGCACCCATGGCCTGACCCTGGTTGGGGGGGCCTGCAGGTCACTTGCTGCTATGGGTCTTGACCTTGGTGGCGTTGATGTCGGCCTTGGTCTTCTGGATCCTGGAGAAGATCTCCTGGAAGAGCGCCTTGTACTCAGGCTGGCTCTGCTCCAGCCGCTTGTCCACGGCCTCCAAGTGCTGGCTCAGGCTCTTCTCCATGGCCTTGGCCTCCCCCTGGCCCTCCTCGCCGCCCCGGAGGTCCCTCCAGGAGCTGTCCCGGGAGATGGGCCGCGAGGTCTGCACGCCAGCATGCCGCACCCCAGCCCGGTGCTGTCGGCACTTGCTCAGCAGCTCCTCGTACTTCTCTAGCAGCGCGTGGTACTGCTCATCCACCTCACGCAGGATGGACATGCCCCGCCTGCGCACGCTGTTGGCGTGCAGCGTGAGGTTGCCTGCGTGCCGGCTGGCTGGGTCTTTGGCCACGATGGCATTGAGCGCCGTGTCGCTGCAGCTCTTGCGCACGGAGTGGCCCGGGGAGGTGGCCGGGGAGGAGACACCATCCTGGACACCGAACTCATCTCCGAGGCCTGGCTGGGGGTCATCGGCCTCAGGGGCCTGGGTGAGGGGTGCCAATAGGGCCTCGGCTAGGTGATCCTCCTGGCCCAGCAGGTAGGTCTTCGCCTGCTTCATCTGCTGCAGCTCCAGCAGCTCGGCCTCCAGCTCCTGCACGCGAAGGCGGCAGCCCTCCATCTCGCACAGCTGCTGCTCCAGCTCCGCGTACTCCTGGAGCACGGCCGCAAACTCGCGTTCCGCCCGCTCCTTGCGCTGCCGCTCCTGGCTCACCTGGGACCGCAGGACTCCCACCAGGCTCTGCAGGCGCTCATTCTCCTGCTCCAGGGGCCTGGGGCCCAGCTCCAGCGAGGAACTGTGCAGGCGGAAGGCATCCTCACACCTGGGAGGAGGGAGGGGCAGGTGGGCAGAGGCTTTGGTCATGGGCAAGGCCTGGGTGCCTGGCACCCGACACTTAACATCATTCTAGGCCACTGAGCTGCGTATTGTTTGTCCCTCTAGAGCCACTCCAGGCCCTTCTCCCTCTGCCCTCTGACCCCAACGGCCTACTTCAGCCAGGCTACCCGAGCTCCGTCGGGGGGGGGGGGGGGGGCGCTCCGCCAGGGGATCGGAGAGTGGGAGCAGACGCAGGCAGTGGGGATGTCTTCCCCCAGGCTCCTTCCTGATCAGTGCAACATCCTCCATGCCGTCTAGGCTCTGCACCCTGCCGTCTGCAGCCTAGGGATGCAACGGCTTCTCACCATAGCAAGCCTGGGGCGCCCATTTTCCTACACCTGTCCACACCTCTTTATTAATCGCCCCTCAGTTACTCTTGACAGCACCCTTACTGAAACACCAGGATTGGCTAAAGAAGATGTGGTACACATGCACAGTGGAAAACTACGCAGCCTCGTACTTCTACTCGTAGAAGATGAAATATTGCCATTTGCGACAACATGGATGGACCTTGAGAATAACATGGTAAGGAAATAAGTCAGTCAGAGAAAGCTAAGAACTATATGATTTCACTCATATGAGGACATAAAACTGAAGCTCATAGACACCAACAACTGTGATGGTTACCAGAAGGAAGGGGGTAACAGAAGACAATTTGACTTTGGGGGGTGGCAGACAGTGCAACAACATACAGATCACGTATCATAGAAAAGCACACTTGAAACCTACGTGATCTTATTAGCCAGCATCACCCCAATCATTTAATTAAAAAAATAAAAATTCAACACTTATGCAAAAAACAACAACAACAACAACAAACCCACAAAATAGACCATATGTATTCCTACATTAAGAAGTCATCCCATTGAGGTTTCATGGGAACTGAGAGGTGCAGTAGTTAACCCCTCCTGGGTCAGAGTTCTGGCTTACTAACCCGGCGGCCTGGGAAAGGCACATAACCTGTGGGGTTCAATTTCCTCATCTGAGCAGTGAGGATGATAAAACACTCCTCGCGGCACTGCCATGACTATTACAACACTTAGCAGAGTCGCGGGCACACGGCCAGTGCTCAGCGGACACCAGCTGCCGACTGCTGTTAGCAACAGGACCGGTCTCGCCGACGGCCTGGGCAATGCACCAGCTCTTGTTCCCACCTGCTGCCCGGTGCCCACCCTCCCCCCGCTCCCCTGGATGGCAGTCCTGGGCACGTGCGGATGCCGTCCAGGGTCCAGGAATTCTACCCACGAGCGGCGCCCTCACCTACCGGGGGCTGGTGCACAGCTCCTTGAAGCAGGGGAAGGTGTGGATGGTGCGCCGGCGCTCCCGCTTCTCCCGGCACAATCTCAGCTGCTCCAGGCCCCGAAGCTGCTCCACCTGGGCCTGCAGCTCCTCCACCTGGGCCTGCAGACGCTCAATGGTCTCCGTCAGCCTGGGGGGTTGGGTGGGGGACACGCATGGGGGGCACTTTCAGGGGACACGGCCAGCCCTCCTCACTGCAGCCCTGGGGGGACATGCGTCTGGGGACAGATGGGCAACCTTGAGCCATGCTGCCTGGTACTGAGGTCAGATGGGGCACTGCAAGCACCCACCCTTCTCCCATGCCTCCCAGGCCGCGCCCACCATCTCTCCTCTGCACCACCTCCATTCCTTGTACATCTTCTTTTATCACTTATCACCCTGCATTGCAATGAGATATTCACATGCCTGCCTTCCCTCCTGGGCTGCGAGCTCCCAGAGTGGGACAGTGTCTTTGTATCCCCATCCCTTGTACCCTAGGTGCCTGAACAGAGCCTGCTGCATAGTTGCTGCTTATAGGAGTATAGCCTGAATGTTAAACCACCCCAAATCTACAGGGACAATCTCACTACTATCCCAGGTTCCCAGCTTGAGCTTCTGGGAGAAGGAGCAGGAGTCACGCCCACCGGTCCACACACCCACGTGCACACCCCGTCCCGGGCCTCTCCTTGCCCGCCCCTCCTCCCCACAGCCCTCCACCCGGCCCTCACCCATGGATCTTCTGCTGGGCAGCCTTACTCTCCAGCACCAGCTTCTGGTTGGCCAGCTCCAGGTCTCGGGCTGTCAGGTCCAGCTGCTCGTACACTTTGGCATGCTGCTCGTTCACATGCCGCAGCGTGTCCAGCTGCTTGGTCAGGTACTGGGGGTGGGGAGGGGACAGAGGGTGAGGAACCTTTCGGAAGAGGGTTAGGGAAATGTCTCTGCCGGGGCCTCTGCCCACCTCTAGGAACAGGTTTGCTTTGGGGCATTCCTGTGCCCAGAATGCGGGGTAAAGACTGTGGGGCCAGAGGACCGCCCGGGAGAGTCGTGCAAGCTGTGTCTTTTTGTAAGTTGCACATAGGTGACTTAGGTGGGGGAGTGTGTGCGGGGCCCAAGGCCCTCACCTCGATCTCCTGCACCTGCTCCTCGTTGGTGGCATACATGTGCTGCAGAGATTCCTCCAGCTCCTTGTTCCTCTCCAGCAGCGTCTTCCCCAGCTCCGCGGCCAAGTGCAAGTCTGGGAGGAGGGGCGGAGGGTGGGGGAAGCAATGAGCAGTGTGAGAAGGAAGCCAGAGGACCCCCATTCATGTTCCGAGCATTCATTCTGAGCTGGGCCCGGGGACCCCAAGACGACCAGGACACAGGGGCTGCCCTTTACACTGGCTGTGGTTTCTGCCTGGAATGCGCTCTCCCCGGACACTTGAGGGCTCTTCCGTCTCTGCCTTCAGGTCTGGACTTAAACATCACTTTCTCCAGGAGGCCCCAGCCGTTGATTTAAAATTGTACCCTCCCCCCGCCAGCATTCCCTCCCCACTTAAGTTTTTCTTAGCAGAAATCACCATCTAACCTACCAAACAATTTGCTTATTTATCTTTTCATCTCTCCTGATTAATTAATTGCAAGCTCACAGGGCAGGATTTTGCCTGTTTCTTTCACTGATATTCCCAGGACCTAAAACAGTACCTGGCACAGAGCAGGTATGTAAGTCTGTTTTGACAGAATGATAAGACATAGGCGCAAAGTGCCTTGGACGACAAGTGAGGGAGATCCTTTTTCCCGGGCACAGCAAGAGGCTCAGACGATGGGCGGCGTTTGAGTTGGGTCCGGAGGGGTGACTAGGAGCTCACTGAGAAGTGGAAGGGGCACAGGGCTTGCTGGGTATTAGAACTGGAGGAGGCTTCAAAGCTCTTTGGCTCGACCACCTTATTCTATGGATGACAGGCTGGAGAGGGAAGAATGACTTGCTCAAGGTCACCAGCTGGGTTATAGCCATATTGGAAGAATTCAGGTCCCTTGCACCAGGCTCAAGGAGCACTTGGCCTTAGTGACACGTGCCCCTCTCTGAAACCTCCTTTCCCTGGAAACAAGCCCAGAGTCTGCCTCCACACAGGGAGCTGAGGTTTTAAAACAGCCTGAGTGCAGCCTCCAGGCAGGACCTAAGTCGGGGGTGGGGAGGACCCTGTGCCCAGGTGTCACCCAGAGGAGTTCCCTGGTTGAGGAGTGCAAACCTGCAGTAACAATAACTTTGCCTGAACAAACACAGCTGCTGTCCTGAACACCTGCCTTAGCCATTATACAAAATACTAGCTCATACAAATGTCAGGTCAGCCTTGAGCAATTAACCTTCTGATGATGCTGCCCAGAAAAACTAGTTACCTGCCACCCACCTAGAGGGGGAATGACGACACTTGCAGTATAAATTTATTAACTGTAAGTTTGGCAAGTCTACAAAGTGCGAAGTTTGACGTTAGGGCCATGGATCTGCAGCCCCATGCTATGCTGAGTGCTTGGAAATTTAGGGGCCCAGCAAAACCACTCCTAGGATCACACTCATCATTTTCTCCCTCGGGGACTGTCAGGTAGCCTGTGAAGACGCCATTGCTACTGATGGCACATGCCTTGGTGTCAGGGGACAGGTTCTGGGGGTGGCCTGTGTGGATCCCTTGCAGCTTAACCTACAGTCCAAAGCCACGACTCAGGTGGAGCGAAAAATGGTCGTGAACACTGCACTTTCTGCTCGTCCTCCTCCCAGGCGAGCATCTGAGCTATGTGCATTCCTGCGGCGGGGGCCGGGGCAGCTAAAGTCACACTCAAAACCAGGGACATGGCCCTCAGAAGGCAGTGACTGTGACCTGGGTCCCCTAGTGATTCAAGAATGGGGAATAAGGGAACACAAAAGAAGCTCTTTGGGGTGGGTAGAGTCTCAGGGACTTTCTCTGGGAAACCGGATCACAATGCAAGCTAAGCTGGTCAAAGCCGCCGCGAGGGATCACGAGAGAATTACAGAAGCTGCGCAGCTAGGGACTGAGCACAGCCAAGTGCCAGGGAAGGGACGCCAGCAAACTGAGGGCTCCAGGGAGAGTGCAGCTCCCCATGGAGCAGAGCAGGGGGAGGCCTGGGAGTGGGCGATGGGGTGGGCTGGGTGCCAGCGAGATAAACAGCCTGTCACAACCAGATCCCCGGACCAAGCCAGGGAAAGCACTGGGCTTAAGTCCACCGCACCTCCCCTTCCTGGACCGGAGTTTCCTGGGTCTCCTGCCACAGGCTTCAGCAGTCTCTCCGCCTCGGTCAGCTGAGATGCTGCCCAGGAGCAATGCCCCGGAAGCCTGAGAGGGCATGGCCGGGAGACAGGCAGATGTCTTTGAAAAGAAACGCTGAAATCCCGCTGCCCCTCACTGGTTGGGGTCTGGGTGGGGCCCTATAGACCCCGGAGCAGAGAGGTAGGAAAGGGACAGAGAACAGGCACAGGGAAGGAGAGACAAAGATAAAGGGGCTGGGGGGAGGGAGGAGGCCATCTACCACCTGGCAGGGCTGCGGGTGTCTGGCACATAGCCCGCAGGGTATGGACGTCCGGAACTCTGGGTCCACAGAACTGGGATCCAGTCACCTCCTCCCCTTGCCACGCCAGACCTCTCTTCAGAGGCTGAGACTCAAGGTCAGGTGCCCGGGACTTCAAATCCATGACTCAGCAACCATCTCCCAGGCTGGAGAGTGGTACCCACAGGGCCTGCCAAGCCAGGTCCGAGATGGGGAGGCAGGCGGGAAGAGAAAGAGTGCCAGCGCTTAATAATTAATGGCATTTTCTATTTTTAGAGGTGCTGTGGCAGTGGGCAGAGGGAACACAGTGAGAACCGAGAACCTTGCTATTGGGACAGAACAGCATCAAAGTCAAATAGGACCTCGACGGCCAAGCTTTGGAAGTGAAGTCAGGGCCTATCTTAGCGTGGCTGAGGGGACCAGGCTGGCTGGACAAACTGCTTCCGGGGCCACTGAGGCACTGGGGAGCAGCTGGGCAGAGAACTGGGGGACTGAGTATAGGGAAGGAGAACGCAACAGGCGCCTGATCCCCAACGTGGCCGACCTTTGGTGAACACTCACGCCACCATCGGCCCTCCGTGCGGGCCCCACGGGGATGGTGCCGCAGCACCTGTGCCTGGGATTTCCTCTGATCCCAGCTCACACTCTACCTAAGTCCTTCTTTCCAGCCACGTGTGGTCTTCCCACGTCGCTCCATGCCTTGCACAAGCGTCCCTTCCCCCGCGAATGCTTGCCTGCCATCCTCAGCCCAGGGAGCACCTTTCCACTGCGCAGCTCCAAGGGGCCTCTGTGGGAACCCTCCTGGCTGGGCCCGCTGCAGCGCCCCTGTGGCTCTGCCACAGTTGCTAGTTTGATCTCCTTTCTGCTCCCTCCGCTGGAATGTGGCGTCTCCCCGGGCTCAGCACACAGCCATGGCAGCAGACATCTGGTTTTGGTGCAAAGCTCCAGTGTCTTCTGAGACTGTCTCATTTCTGGTGGCTACGAGGGGAGCCTGAGGGGCAGCTGACCGCTCTGGGGCAGCAAGGCCAGAGCAGGGAGCCGGCTGGGCCCACCCCTCACCCTGGCCCAGAGCGGGCACCCAGCCCAGCCGGGAATCTGGACACCTCTCCCTCTCTGGGAGCAGCACATCTCCCACTGCTACTCTCTGGTCTCCTTCCTCCCACATCTGGGCCGGGCACAGTGCCAGAGACGCCCAGAGACTTCGTTAAGGGTGCAGAATGAAATGAGACAGCAAGAATATCAGCATCTGTCTCCCAGAGGTCGTTTCCGAGGCACCCGGCTTCCAGGCTTTCCTTCCGGGCCCACCTCTTCCATGGAGCCCTCTCACTGCATCCTGCCAACTATACTCAATGACAGGCCCACCTCCACCTGCCCAGGTCCACTCAGGGGCCCAGGGCTGGCGCTACTCCCAGTGCCCAGCATAGTGTCTGACACTTAAGTGGAGCCTGATAGGTGTTTGTGGGAGGCAACATTTGGGGGTGGGGGTAGTGCCCAGGTTTAGGGAGGGGCTGTCACAGCCAGAATTGGGCCTCTCGCTCCAGGCAGCAGAGCTGAGGGTAGACTCCGGGCATAGAGTATGGCAGGGGATGGCCCAGCACCCGGATAGTTCCCACGCTAGTTCCCCCAGAGGCTCGGATTTCCCCACATTCCTGAGCACAAGGACCAATCCTCACCTGCCAGCAAATCTGGCCAAAGGGGGATGTGGGTCAGAGCCAGGAAGCAAAGGCTCCAGAATCTAGGTAGGTGCCTCCCATGAGGGCAAAGCCAGGCTTCGGGGCCGTGGGTGGAGCCCCAGAGCAGGAGTCTCTGCACACACTGGACCAGACTCGTGTCCGCACATGCTGGCTTGCGGGGGACTGTGGCCACTCCTCCTGGACACCCTTCCGGCCCTGACCATTCCAGAAGGAGGCGTTCTTGGGAAGGAGAGGGTGGATTTGACTCCACTCTGGTAGGCCTTGGCCCTGACCCTCTTAGGCCTCCTCCTCTTTCCTGTCCCCAACAGCCCGCCCCCTACTCGGAGTGATGTCACTTCGGCCACCTCATCACCAGCTTCTAACCCACTTCGACTCACTCTCTCTGCCCTCAGATGGAGGGGTAGGTGGCTCCCTCTTTATTCAGGTTCTAAGCTGGGCGCTTGCTCAGAATTCCCACACCTGACCCCCTCCACACCACCAGCAGTTTGTGAGGGCACCGGAGGGGAAGGACCAGGGGACCATTCCCTCAGGAAGCCAGATTGATGACTCCAAATCTCCATTTCTCCCTTGGCAGGGTCCCTGCAGCCCCACTCCCTCCCTGGGTGGAGGGGAAGGGAGCTGGGGAAACTTTCTGGGAGTCTTAGAGCTCAGGAATTCTGGCAGCGAAGGAAGGGTGTCGCTGGATTTGGGATAAGTCCCCCCCTTCCCCCACACACTCCACCCCTCCCAGGAAAACAACCTCCCTGCCTCCAAAGACTTCCAGTCAGGACTCTGGTGCCCCGACAACATCAGGGGCCCTGGGCAACTCCCGCCTCTAAGTTGGGGTGGGCGAGCTGGATGAAGTACGCCCTTGTCCATCGGGAAAGAGGAAGAGCGGTCTCCCGACTTTTGCAGGTCTCCGCGGGCCCGGGCCCGGTCTTCCCCGGCAGCACGCCCCTTCTCTCCACCTTCCCGTTCCCCCCACGCATCGTCCCAGGGAATCCGGGTCGCGGGGTCCAGCCCAGCCCTCCCGGGGGTGACACCGCCCAACAATGGAATAGCGGACGGGGTCGCGGGGCGCACCTCGCTCTCCTGCCCCCTCCTCCGTGCTCACCCTGCTCCAGGTCCTGCTGGTCGTACCAGGGCTCCTCTTCCTCTGCGGAGAAGTCCTCCATCCCCGAGGCCCTCCGCATGGCCCCGCGGGCGGGCGCTGCAGCGGCGAGGTTCAGGGCCGGGGTGCGGGGCCCGGGACAATGCGGCGGAGGCGGGCCGGGTCTCCCGCGTCGCGGACTCCGGCTGCAGCGCCCCAGCCCGCGCCGCGCCCCTTCGCCATCGGCCGCTAACCCGGCGCCCACACGGGGCTGACTCGCCGCGGCGATCTGGCCCGGCCCGGGTCCTGCGGAGCCTGGGACACGAAGCGGCGGCGGCACAAAGGGTGGAGGGGAGGGGACGGCGGGTGATTCGGTGACAAGAAGGGTCCGGGTCCGCCGGCAGGTCTGGGGCGCTAAGAATACGCGGGTGCCACGGCGGACGCCCCTTGCCCAACTCCGGCCCGCGCTGCCCCGGCCCGCCCGGCGACACCCGGAGCTGCGGCTACATCCCGGCAGGGTTCGCCCGGCGTTTCCCCAACCGCCCAGCGCTTCCCCAACAGCCCGCTCCACGGGGTGGAGCCAGACACCGTTAGCCAATCAGAAGACGTATGCAAAGCTGGAGGCGGGGCCGGGGCGGGATCTCCGTAGTGCCCTGGTTTAGATGCTGCTGGATCAACACGCCCCTTCCCTCCATGATGACCTCCTTCACTTCAGGGCTCCTTGTGTAAAATTATTTTATTCTGTTTACCTGTTGTTGTGTTTCTCTCCCTTTGGGTCTCCTGAAAGCAGGGAACTTATCTTTTGTCCACAGCTGGTTCCTCAGTGCCTAGAACAAGCTGGCCTATTGATACCTTCTCTGGACAAAGACTCTTTGAATGAATGAATGACTATTCATTCACAATTACCTTTAAGAAGTTGAGTGTTTAAATGCCTGTTGGTCAGAAACCTCAGGCCAGGAGTGGGATCCCTATCCTATATGCAATTATACCCATTAAAATCAAATACAGTTTTACCTATCCAAGCATTCTTTCCCTTAAAGGAGTTTTTGGACTCAAGCATTCATGAAACTCATTTTTATTAGCACCCAGTATGTGCTGTTACTGTTGAAGTACCCTGAGCATACTCAACTGAAAATATGTGGCAAATATATCCAACAAAGGACTTGTATCTAGAATATAGAAAGAACACCTGCAAACCACAAGACAAAGGAAGACAATTCAGTGCAAAAATGGGTAAAAGACTTGACTAGGAATTTCACAAATGACCAAAATGACCCAATAAACATGTGACAAGGTGTTCAACTTCTTTAAAAGGATCAACACCTATAGGGAAAGAGAAGGAAGCAGGCTCAAAAGAGGGAAAAGTTGGGTTAAGATGCGGCCTCAACGAAACCTCCCCTGGTTTCTGGGAAGCTTTGAATCTGGGATGACCCATCCAAGTTGGTCCAAGTGGCAGCAGGGAGAGGGTTTTTATATTTGCTCCCCTCCCACCCGTGCCCCCCCCATCACCAGTCATTGAATGGATGCAGGCTGCCCCTGGGAAGGGGGTGTGGCATTGGCATAGGAGCTCTTTTGGGTGTCTCTCTCCCCAGAGAGGGCTGACAGCCTCCAGCAGCTGGGGGAATGGGCAGCCCTGAAGATGCAGCCTCTGCATCACAGCATCTGCTATAAATGCACACCCTAGGACCCAGCAATTTTGTTCATGTATTTGTGCAACAGAAATAGGTACATACATTAGCCGAAAGACATGTACAAAAAACGTTTACAGCAGCACTGTTCATAATAACAGTGTAAACCAGAAACAACCCAAATGTCCATCAATAGTTGATAAATAACATGTGGTGTGCTCATGCATCGGAGGATTATAGAGTACAAATAAAATGTTGAGTGAAGGACACTGGACACAAGGAGTAAGCACTTGTGTTTACTATCATTTCTGTAACAGATTATCCCAAAGGTAGTGGCTTGACACAGCACTGATTTGCTTACTGTTCTGTACGTTACAAGTCTGACGTGGCCTCAGTGACTGAATTCTAGGTGTCCGCAAGGCTGAGTTCCCTCTGGAGGCTCCAGGAGAGAGTCTATTTCCTTGCTTCTTTCACTTTCTAGAGGCTTCCCACATTCCTTGGTTGATGGCCCCCTTCCTCCATCTTCAAACCATCAACAGCAGGTTGAGCCCTTCTTACACTGCATCACTCTGACCCCTTTTGCTTCTCTTTTCCACGTTTAAAGACCGTTGGGGCCCTGGCTGGTGTGCCTCAGTGGACTGAGTGCCGGCCGAAAGGGCACCATTTTGGTTCCTGGTCAGGGCACAAGCCCGGGTTGTGGTCCAAGTCCCTGGTTGAGAGGCAACCGATCAATGTGTTTCTCACACATGGATATTTCACTCCCTTTTTCTCCCTCCTTTCCCGTCTCTAAAATAAATACATAGATGACTGATAGATAGATAAATAAAATATTTTTTTAAAAAAAGACATGTGGGATTATATGGGGCCCACCTGGATAATAATCCAGCATCATCTCCTCAACTCAAGGTCCTTCACTTCCTCACATCTGTAAAGTCCCTTTTGCAATGTAATGCAACATATTCAAAGATTCTAAGATTAGAGTGTGGACACGTTGGGAGAATCATGATTCCATTTATATAAAGTTTAAAACTGGTGAAAATGAATCTAACTGGGACAGCGTTTGGCCTTGGGGAGTCACGTGGGGAACTCTGAAGGGCTGGGAGTGTTTCATTTCTTGACCTCGGTGCTGGTTACACAGGTGTACTCACTAGTGAAAATCATTGATGTGTACACTTGCGATGTGTACACTTCTCTGAATATACTATACTTCAGTAAAATAGCTTGCTTAAGAAGAAAAGCAAGAAGACGAGTATGGAGCTTTCTTCAATAGTCTAGAAAGGAGGTGACGGTGGGGTGGACAAAGCTGGTGGCAGTGGAGAAGGGGCGAGATGAAAAATATTTTGCGTGTAGACCCAAGATGTTCAGATGAACTGACTAAAGAATCGGAGTGACCACTCAGACTTCTGGTTCCAGTAACAGGGCGGTGGCGATGTCATTTATTGAGATGGGGACAAAATGAGTCTAATGGACAACGAGGTTGGGGAGGGCTGAGTTCCAGAGGGATCTGATCGGGGTCCCCAGCCCACCAAGTCCCTTCTGCCCTTGTTCATGTTTTCATTCTGCAGCTCTGTGGAAGTGTTAACTACAGGAGCCAGGGCTGCCCCAGGGGAGTGTAGGAAGTCCCAGAGACAAAGCAGGGCCAAAGGGCCGGGGCCTTGGCTCTGTCGATGCTACCAGGGGGCCGCCTGTTGCCAAGGCAATGAAATGTAGCCCCCGACCTGAAGGTGCACCTGCAGCCCCTGGAGCTAAGGCTGTTTTCACGGATGATGTTTGAAAACACCCAGCTCCGGGGCCATCCCTTGGCCTTTGGCCTTCACCACACTGACTGCACCCTCGGCGTGGCTCTACCCACGTACCCTCCTTTCCCGTGACCACCCTCCCTGTGCCCGTCCCAGGAGTGATGCCTCGTAGGGACGGGCATGTCCCAAAGGCGGGATTCTCGAGTACGAGGCAGGGGAATTCCGGCTGGACGCCCCTAGGTCCCTCGGTCCCACGAGGCTGGCATGGGGCGGGGGCTGGCTGACGCTGGGCCACTAACTCCGCCAGGTCGGTGGAACCTCCCTGTCGGCTTCTGCAGGGGACAGAGGGAGGAGGCCCAGGTGATCCCCAGAGCTGTGGGCAGCTGGGGGATGGGGCTCCTGCTGCATACCAGGCTGTGCTGGGCCTTTTGCCCAATTTGGTTCATGGGAGCCCCAGGCTCCTTGCCCAGTGGGATCACTCTTGGTATCTTCGGGGCAGACTTCATATTTTCTAAACTGTTGCATGAGGAGAGAAATCAGACCTGCCTTTGAAGAAGGAAATTCCTTTGCCTTCCTGAGCTACGAGCCAAGAAGCCCTAAACAGAGTATAGAGCGAGCCCATGGCTGGGCCCTACACCCGACCTGACCATGGGAACCCCCAGAGCCTGGTGCTCCGTCTGTGGGTCAGGCAGACCTATTTCATGCGTCCTTGTCAGGAGCGTGAAGAGGCACGTTCAAGGACTCACCGTCTCCTAAGCCTTGGGCAGTGTGATTCCCCTTGGGTCGGTTTCACACTCCTCGGACCAGAAGCACTTGCCCAGTCCCCAGCCAAGGACCTCCCTTCAGAGTGCAAGCCCAGATCCTAGAGCTGGGACCAGAGCTAGATATGGACCGGGGCGGGGGTGGGGGCGGGGGCGGGGCGGGGCGGGGCGGTGCTCCGAGCCGGACGCAACCTGCAGACGCCCTCCAGTCGGCTGGGGATGCTGATGCAACAATCCGCGGGCACAGTTGCCACTGCCCACTCCCCAGCCCAGCCCAGCCCAGCCCACCGGAAATGACGGCGCAGGCAGTGCTGACGTTGAGGGTCTCGGTCACTCCCAGTCACGCGAGTCACGCCGGGGGAGGGTCAGGGTGCCCAGCGGCGCCTCTGGGCCCTCGGGCTTCCCACCCACCTCCAACACTGAGCATTTTGGGTGAGGTCAAGGGATCAGGCGGCGCCAGGACACCTTCCTCCGGTGCCCCTAACCCTGGAGGCTGAGCTGCCGCCCTCCCTGTCCTCAGACTTTCCAGCGCTGGGCGCCCGCTGCACTGAATGCTCTGGCCCCATCTGCCCGTCCTCCAGTCTGAGGTCAGCGCCTGGCAGGGTAAGGCGCTTAATACATTTGAATGAGTGAGGTCATCTGGTGCCCCTCCCTTCCCCCCACAAACCATCCGAGTCTGTCCCAGACCAGATTCTCAGTCCCAGCGGTCTGAAAGTGCCTCCATTTCCCATGTCTTCCTCAAGTCCCACGCTTGTCCTTTAGGAAATGCATGCTGACTGTCCTCCTGGGGTCTCACCCTGCTCCTTCAGGGCCACCTCGGGGGCGTTATTGGGAGGACTCTGTGAGTTAACACAGGCCAAAGGTGTCCAGCAGGGCCTAGGTCATGTGAGCACCAGCCAGTTTGCCTTTAGGGTCGTTTTTAGTATACCGTTTTTTACCTGGAGGATCTATTCCTTGCCCGTGACTACCCCTCTTCCGGAGGGTTCCTGGGGAGCCTTGTCCAGGGATCTCACGTTTCTAGTCCGGGGCAGGTGAGGCTTCCAGGGAAGGCCGGAGCCACGGGCTTAAGA